AATTGTTGAACACAAAAAGTTGGACATTGATTAATTAACTTTGGTTAACAACAATCAAAAAATCAATAGACAATTTGACAGAAAAGTCATATTTTTTCAATAAACAACAATTAACTTTTTGTTGTTTAATTGTTGTTATTATTGTTTATGAAATGATTTCATGATTAATTGTATTTTTATTATTTCAACAGAATGACAATCAGATTGTTAAAATGATTAATGTTCAATATTGATTCTGATAATTGTAGATACATCTGATCAGTCTGTCTCCTTAATCCAGTAATATAATTAATCTTAATCATGAATCAAATTCAGCTATTAATGTTTGTTTTTAAATGTGATGATCAAATCATTAGATTACCAACTCTGATCAAAATATTTAATTCTTAAGGAAATGAACTTGAAAAAAGATTAAGAGGAAAAAAAGTTTTACTCTCTGATTGAAAATGAACTTTTAGCCTTAAGGAATCAGATTAAATCTCATGTAAAGATTTCAGCTCCTGAGTTACTCACATTTGGACAGAATTTTTATTCATCTGAAGAGATGAATTTACTTTTCGAACTTTATAAACTGAATGTTAGAGTTAGAATATAAAAAAAAATCGAAAACCAGTAACCGAGTCTTCTTGTTATCATGTAGACTGAACCTTTCATACTTGTCTACTGATGATCTTGATAATGATGAAGATAAAGTTGTCCATGTTTCAGGAATGCTGTTCATGGTTATCTCATGGAACCATGGCAAAAATTTAGCAAAGAACTCGAGTTACTCAAAGAATTACAATCTCGCCCCCTCACTATCCCTGTCAAAAAATAAGAAGTTATTTCATATCTACAAACAAGGAATTCGTATGAGCATCATCATCATCTAAGATCATGTTTATTATCATGATGTTTCACTCCAAAGAAACTGAACATACATCCTAAATAAGTTCAGTGAAAAAAAAACTCATTACATGATACAAAGTTTTTTTCTCATTGTACTGAACCAAAATGAATCAAGAAAAAAAAGTTACCTAACAAATTTTTTCTTGTATCATGTTGGTGTTTTTTTCATCTACCATGTTAACAAATCTATTGTTGTGGTTGTGTATCCAGAATATTGTTTTTTTTTCATAAGCTATTAAACGAATCCACTGAACTCTCAACTGGAATTTCAAATATTAATGTAGTTATAAACTCTAAGTCGTATGGTCTTGTGGTCAGAATCCATCATTTCACCCTCTCTGAATCTAAATGCTAAATTTTCATGCTAATTTCAACTCTGAGCTTCTACACAATTGAGCTTTCATCTGGTAATTGCTAATTGCTTTTTGATTACTTGCTGATCGACCATCAGGAGACTGTAAATGTTTCGAGGTATTTTCAAAATTTACATGCAGTTTTCTTGAATTCTGACCTTCAGTTGATTTATCAAACAAAATGGGATTGGATGAGTTTCAAAATATTAGCTCATGAAAATTGAAACTTGACTGTTTTTATTCATCATCCTGTAACATTTGTATTCAATTGCATGATCATGGGAGGGAAATTGTCAATATCGGAAATCAAATCTTTATCATTTTATTAGATATGTTTACTGAATAACGATAACAATTGAAATGAGAGAATTTTTATGAAATTTGAATTTTCTCAATTCTTGTAAATGTTTTGATTCCCAATGGTGATATCATGGAATCACTGAAAAAGTTTTCTATGAATTTTTGTTGGTTCCTATCTAAAAGAATTGTGATAATCATTTCAAATTGAATTCTATCGTCACCATCATGGTGATCTCTAGATCGATAGTGATCTTAATCATGATAATCATGGGAAATTTTCTGATTCAATTGAGAAAAAGATTTTAACTCATAACTATTGACCTTAATGTATAGTCAGCTTAGTCTTTCAAATTGTGTTGATGAAATTTATTCAGATTTCAGGATATTAATGAGCTGAGGTTACTAATAAAATGCTCAGAATTGAGTTTCAAAAAGCTGTCAAAATGAAAAAGACAAGAAAAAGGAAATCGTTCAACATGAACATTCATGAGAAAAATCAGTCCAATGGAATATGAAAAATGTTCAAATTGAATTGTTTGGCTGTTGATCGAATCAAATCATGGGAATCCAAATGTAACGATAAGTTTATCTGAAAGTTACACACAAGAACTTTTCTTGAAATATCAAAAATCTTGTAAGGAGACATTGGAAAAGCTCAAACATCAGAAGCAACTAAGTGACATGTTATCATGTCTAAATATCATGAGAATTGAAGTTTAAGAAGAAATTGAATAATTTGAAAGAAAGAGATGAATAGAAATTGGTTTAGATTGTTCAGAATTAGAGAAATAGAAACAAAAACAAGATATTATTCATCTTCATCAAATATCAGCATCATGAAAGTTTATCCTTCTTTTCACACTTAAATATTTAAATCTCATAGTGATAATTTCCCCTTTATCGTGAAGGAAAATGTATTAATAATAATAATTTTCTAGAATTGAGTTGATCTAAATATCAAGCAATCCCATGGGAGGCTTTTGTCGTTGTTTATTTGTTTGGTTCTGTCTCATTTTCACAATGAAAAACGGAAGCGGAAATAATGAAATGAAACAAGATGAATGAAACATTGTTTCCGTTAAATCATCATGAAAATAAGTGAAAAGTTTCATTGAACTTATCCTGTTAACAGAAATCATAACCATCTCTTTATTTAGAACAATTTTTCGTCATTAATCAGCAACACAATGAATTCAATAAACAAGAATTTGATTGCTTGTCACAATTTGTCAGAACTCTTCTGACAATCATCTTTTATTGATATAAAATCAGTCCATTCTGATATTAGCAGAGACTTCGGTATCATGATACTAGAACCATAGAAGTGGACTGACAATAAGTAATTAATTGCATCGAGAACTTTTTCCAATCGAATCTTCATCCAGCCCAATAACTTCACCTCCATTTCTTGTTGATTGGAATCTCTAAAAGTTATATAATTATGGACTTACCAAGCACAATTTTGATTGAAACTATTCCATCATGAACTTGATTAGAAGCATGAAACTCTGATTATCATCATAACAGTTTCTACTGCTGAATACTACGTTGAAAGTATCATATAATCACAGATTTGAACATATTGTGATAATCTACTTGCAGATATATAAAAAAGCATCTCCCATGGGTTTCAATAAATTTATGATACTTTAAGTTCAGAAAATAAATCAGAATCTAGAGAAAAAAATCCTTCATCCTTTTCCATGAACTTTCAACTAAAAGGTATTATTATATATTAATTATCATATTGTAATCACGATAATGATATCATATTAATCATAGTATCATGATAAGAATCACCTCCAGGGAATGATTCATTATCTGATTCCAAATTAAGGATATGAGGAGAAAAAAGTTCTCAACTTTTTTTAGCTCATCAACTGTGACTTTTTTTTTCTACTTGTAACATTATTTTAATCTTCATTTCTCTCATCATCAGAATTGATAATCAAGATAATCAGTTAGCTGTTTATCAAGTTGATTTCTGGAAAAAAAGTGAATCAAAGAGGAGAAATATATGAAATTCTGATCAAAAAGAAGGTAGTAGAAAAAAGATCTGATAATTTGTTTTCCTCATTAAATTTAATCAATTGCATCATTACTTTCATTCAATCAAACAAATCATAGGCTTAGCTCATGAGATATTATCATGAATATCATCATGAGAAATCATCATCATCAGTTTACCATGTTTACTTTTTGGAAAGTTCATTTCAACCGATGAAAATAATGGAAAATCTTTTCAGATTGTGAATAATTTCATGAGATAATTCAAATTCTGTTGAAGTAAAGAGAAAAATGTTTCCGAAATTTTTTTTCTCTAACAATATATTTTCAGGTCTTTCTCTAATGATAAATCCCAATTCAATTACAAAAGAATCAGTTTTGTTTTTCTTTCTGTTTATCAATGAGAAATTTTTTTCCATGATAAAAAATACTTTTCCATCTTGATGGAATATGATAATTTATGGTTTGGTTTTCATACTTCAATCTTATATTAACAATATTCTTAACTATCAAAAGGAATACTTCATATCAAGACTGTTATCGATATCTTGTTCCTTTGAGTTAAACTTGAATCTTATGAGTAAATGTTTTTGATATCGAGAGAGTGTCAATTTCATCTCAATCTATACAATTGATTTAGATGAAAAAAACTTATTCCTTTTCTGTAAACGGGTCACAACAGTGCAAGACAAATGCTCCATCTCAATAATCCATAACGATCTTAACATAAGCCATGAAACTAAGCATAATTTTCCAGCTCAGCGTATCAACCAACGCACTCAAATCCAATATTTAGCTCACCTCTCACATTGTATTCTAAGAAAGGCTAATTTGAAGAGCGCGGGGAATTAATTAAATAATTTCTTTTCAATCTTTTCCATATTGATTAGGTTATCTAACCTTAAAGATGATAAGGATGAAGATGAAGGTAGAGATAATTTCCTTTAATCAAATCGGTTTGAGAAAAGTTGAATCCAACACCCTTGATGTGCTCTCATTGTTAAATTGTCTTCAATAAGATCGGTTGGTTAATCCGTTGTATTTATCGTTAAATCCTTCTGATTGTTTGTCTAAATCATCATTCAGTTTCTGAGTAATTAAACTTAAGTAATTTCTGTTCACCTAAAATTTGGGTTAATTAATTCATTTTCCAACGTGAACATAACGAAACATGCTTTATGAAACTCTTATTTATTTGTTTGCTTATTGATTGTCTGAGGTTATTGAGTGAATGAACTGATTATTCAATTTCCTCGATTATAATCCCGTTCAATTTAAATTAATCAGTAGCCATGAAATTCAATTATCTTATGACAGTGATAGTAGTCATGTAATAAATTAATCTCTGGATATAAGACTTTAAAAGCTCAGTTGAAATTATTGATTGGTTATTGGTATTTGGATGCTGGATATTGAACTTATTTTGATGAAATTTTCATTGTTTCTTTTCAGATGGACCATCCAATATAAACTCCAAGTTGCCTGTTCTCGTCTTCATTCATGGTGAATCTTATGACTGGGGTGCTGGGAATCTTTATGATGGATCGATATTATCAAGCTTTGGTAATGTTATCGTGGTCACTCTTAATTATCGACTCGGAGTTTTCGGTGAGAATTTTATCTTTTTTTCAATTTGACAGAAAATTTAGACAACGATTTTTTCTTGATTCTCATTTTTTTTTCTCTTTCTTAAATTCTTAGGATTCCTTCCTGCTATTCAGGAGGGAACACTTCGAGGTAACTATGGCCTCATGGATCAAATTGCTGCCTTACACTGGATTCAGGAAAATATTATTGAATTCGGTGGGAATCCAGTTAACATAACCCTCATGGGCCATGGTCATGGGGCGGCTTGTGTTAATCTTTTAATGACCTCACCAATGGCCTCAAATTTGTTTAATAGAGTGATTCTAATGAGTGGATCAGCTTTGGCTCCTTGGGCGATTGCCACAGATTCAGATGTTTACTCTCGACATTTGGGTAAACTGTTGGACTGTCCAAACAGCGATAATACAATTATGGTCAACTGTTTAAGATCAAAAACCGCTCAAGAAATTTTACGAGTTGACCTTAAGGTACCACAACATTTATCTGCTTTTGGTCCAATAATCGATGGAACTGTTATCCTTTCACCACCGAAAGATTTTGTCATCAAATCAAATGACTATTATTCTGCCGCTGCCTCATCATCATCATCATCATCATATTCAAATTCTTACTCATCAATGTATCATTTAAGCTTAAGCTCAACATTATCCGCCTCAGATTCTTATTCACTGCCACTTACAGCACCTTTATCATCAGCAGCCTTACCTGGTTCCATCTCCGGTTCATCTTCTTCCTCTTCCACCTTCATGGATTCACCGGGCTACAGTTCACCTTCAACCACATATGACCTACTTTTCGGTATAACTCGAGTTGAAGCTCCTTATTTATTCACAGCTCACGAGGAAAGACACGGTGTAGACATGAGGAGAAGGGACCGAATTCTCAGAACTCTAGTTCGTAACCTTTTTGATTTCCATCAGCAGGTAAGTTTTCAAAAAATAAATTACGAATAAACAAAAATAACCCAACAGTTACCTACTCTCTTGTTAACCTTTTGTCACCATGAGATCTTTATTGGATAAAAAAAGTTCATTTATTGATTTGGCAACAACTTCCGGATAGTAAATGAAAAGGAAGTCGAAAGATAGAGAGAAAAAAAGTCCCAGAACAGTCTTATCAATTCTATCTCATTGAACTTTTCCGCTAACAATTTTTTTTCTCTTCTCTTCCATTTCCGCCTCTTCTCTAACCAATTTGTTACCTTTCTTTTCTTATTTACTCTCTCATTTTCTCTATTTGCATCCTTACGATATTTCTCACTCTACTTGCTTGACCTCTTTCAATCTATTTAATGGGTTTACCATTATGGGATAAAGGTCATACTTCTGACATTGATCAACGAATACACTGACTGGAGTCGTCCAGTTGAACATCCGATTAACCTTTTCGATTCATTAGTGGACATTTTGGGAGATGCTCTTGTAGTTTCACCTTTGATACAAACTGGTGACACTAATGCTCGATACGCGATGTCAACTTATACCTCTAGCGCTCAAGGGTCAACAATGGGCACATCGTCTACTTCTTCAACACGCCGACATCACCATTCTAGTTCATCTTCACCGATTGGTACTTCGTCCACATTATCATCTTCCTCGTCTTCATCATCCTCGTCACTTGGTTCGTCTTCGGGATCGACTACAAATGGTAATCGTTTATCGGGTGACTACAATTCTGGACCTCGAACTTTTTTTTACCTTTTTTCCCATCAAAGTGAAAACTCTGGATTCTCACCTCGCCTTGGTTGTCAACATGGTGAAGAGCTGGCCTACATTTTCGGTGCTCCACTGGCCAATAATTTACTTGGACAATCGCTTAGCGTTTTCCATACTAATTATACTCGACAAGAGTCCACTCTTGCCGAAGCCGTTATGACATATTGGACAAATTTCGTTAAATTCGGGTAAGCAAAAAAAAACATTTTAACCACTTTAGGAAACTAAATTTGACCAATTTCCTTTGCTACCAAATAGTGACCCAAATATTTGGCCTAACGAACTAGATTCACATGGTGATCGAGCCAAAGGCCGCTTTGAAAACGTATTCTGGCCTCAATATGATACAATAACGCGAAAATATCTAATGATTGGTATGATTATTTATTCAACTTAAACAACCATAATTATCCTAAAGATTAAGATTAATGAACTGTCCATGTTGATAATTCAACTCATCATATCATCCATCTTATTTTGAAACTCATTTTCCATTCATATTTTCATGATAATCGTTATGATCATTAATGATTCATTGATCCATAAATTGAGAGCAATGAACAACAAAAAATAATATTGAACCAAAGTTAAGGTTAATTCAGTTATCACATGATAACATTTAATCAGAATCAGGAAAATCAATGAATAAGATAATCGTTCATCTTTAACTAAATAAGATTAGTATTAAGAAAAAGTCGAAAGAGAGAGAAAAAAAAGTTCTAATCTAATAAATTTTAAAATTCGATGGAAACTTTCATTTCTCTCTTTCGCATTTTCTTTCGATAAGTTTTCTAATGGTTCCAATTGGAAACAAAAGTTCATTTGATTGATGGATTTTCAATTCATAATAAAATTTTGTATTCTTTTGTTATTCAAATAATAATAATAATCGTTGTCATCATCATCATCATCATCAGGGATAAAGAGATAATCTCAATATAGCAATTAGTTAATGGAGATCATAATAATCAACTGATACAGTACAAAATGAGAGCAATAATTTAAATCATCTTGATGAATTGTTAGTTATTATTTCCATGGAAATAATAATAATGAGGAAAGAAGAGAAAAGTTCCTGATAAGTTATTATTAGAACTTAATCCTGATGAAGGATTAATGAAAATTAATCCCATCTAATCTGGTCAACTTATAGTGACACAAATCACATTGGAATTATGATTAGTTGCATGTAATATATTAATAAACCTTAATCTCATCATGATGATGATGATAATTAAATATCAACATTGTTACATCTTGACAGAGATTATGAATAGAAATGAACGAAAAGTTCTGACATTCTAGTCAACTGAATTCATTGTTATCTCCAGAAAATCATGATCATCAGAATATTCATCAGAAAATTTAATTTACTTTTCAAAGTTAAAAGTAACGGCTCTGATTCATTCAAGATTCATTGATTTATTAAGGGAAAAATTTAATTTGGATCATCATCAACACTGAATTATAATTTGATTCCAATGCTTCATGATGATTGGGTGATTTTGAATGTAATTTAGTTAAACTTTTCACTATTATCACTATTTAATCAACTAACTACTAAGATTTAAAGATAATGAGTTCAGCTTGATGATGTTTAAATATCAACATGGTCAATATGTTCATCTCATGGTGATTTCCAGTTGAAGCTCATAAATTATCTGTTATTTGATGTTTTCATCCTAAATGTCAACTAATAATGATTATCATCATGATAATAATGGTTGATTCTCAACACTGAAATTGTAAGTTAAGTGAAATATTTTCTGCCTTCCATGATAACTGAATCAAAATGCACCAGATAATAAATATAAGATCCTAAAAAGATATCAGATTAAATCAGATTAGATTAAAGTCTATTTTGTCTCTCTATCAAATTGTAGTGTTAGTAGTTGGTTAATAGTTCTAAACTTTTTTTCCTTCTTCCAACTTTTACTCCCATGAATGAGAATCCGAAAAGCATGGAAAAAGAATGTTAAAAACTTAACTAAATCAGTAAATCAGATTAAAGGTCAAACCTCACAGAATCAGAATCTTATTTTACACAGAATCTTTTGTCATCCTCAACCTGATCATTCTCATCCTCATCATTTCATAGAATCTTTTTATTCTCTTCTTGTACCAATGGATATTATCATTTTCTTTACTTGAAAAGTAAGGAAAAAGAAACCTCATGGAATTTTGATGATTTTCATTAAAGAAAATGTAAAAAAATTAAAGTTCAATATCATCATAAAGTAGTTTGATGTTCCCCTGTTGTTGTTGACCTTCATAAGAGTTAATTGATGCCATTAAATTAACTCTATTATTAGTGACTTTGTGTGTTATTCTGGTTGATTATTATCATCACCATGATGTTCATGATGATGATGATGTTAGTGGGAAAAAACCAAGAGATACTAGAGAGAAAGAGTAGATTAGAACATTTTTTGTTGTTCGAAAGCAAAAAAAAAGAGCTGAAAAAGCCCTCGAACTTACAAGAAAGCAACTCAGCATTTACTCTTCATGTAATAATATAAAAGTGTATGTAAGTGATAATTTGATATAACTTCATCATCATCATTAACAGAAACAACAACAACAACACCAACAGCATCATTAGCATTATCATGGACCATACGACAATGATAATGATCACAATCAATATCAAGCATATAATTTAAATCAATAGAGAAAAAAACATCTCAAACTGATCCTCCCACTATTTGAATCTGAGGAAGTGTAAGTTATCATCATAGTCTTTATCATGCAGTATTGATAATATACTTTGATAGGAAGTGATGAGTAGAAAGTGAAAGAGAATGGGAAGAAGTTCCAATTCTATGAATATATTCAATTTTCAGGGTGAAAATATTGTAACATTAGCACTTTTTATGAGTTTTTTTTATCTCTCTCTCTCTCTCTTTCCTTCCTGGTTCTTTCCCTCTCACCATGATAATAATAACGATAATTATTATTACATGAATATCATGAGGAGGTGATGGGAGGAGTAGGGGGTGGTTGGTGGTTCTGTTGATTCTGTTGATTTTAATGTGAAACTTTCAGGAAAACAATTATATTATTTTGGGAACTTGTTTCATTTGTCCCTTACCAAGTTCCCCCTGCTGTTGAAAATAATTTCCAACCATTTATTTTCATCATCAATCATTATATTACTTGATGATTATCATATTCATCATTATGATGATGTGAAATATTATATTAATTGTATGATGGTGAAAGTCATCACTTGAAATGTAATTTAATCTAATAATCTGATGTATTTAAACCTCATGTCAAATTACTGAATATTATTACATAGAATAGAGAGGGAAAAGAAAGATGCAAATTCTGTTTATCATGAAATTCTTGAAATTTTATTCACTTTGGACTGAACATTTATTCAATGGAAGGTGGATAAAAGTGGGTGGTAAAAGGGTAAAGTGGATTGATGAACAAGATAAACACATCATGTTATTCATCTGATGATAATTTAATCTCTCAAGTTTAATGATAAATTAATCACTTTGAAAGATTTTCCAACCATTTAAATGAGTGAAAGCAATTTAAATTAAATCAACAATCAGTGACATCGTTATTATCAATTTAATCAACTTGACTTTTATTTATATTACACAAAAAGATAAATTATTTAACAATCAATTAGATTCACATGGTAATAAATCATAGGAAAAAAACAAAGAGCTAAGATTATGAACAAGAGCTCATGAGTTGATGGAATAGCCTGAGTTTTGAACAATATTGAACATTGAACTTTTCGATACATGTATATGTGTGTGTATTAATATGTTTATCTATTATCATTATTGTTTTCTTTTCCAATGATTATCCTGAATTCTTAGGGATGAAACCAAAAGTTCGTGATCATTATCATTCCCATCGTTTGTCCTATTGGCTTCATTTGGTTCCTCGACTTCAGGAATCATCATTTAACGAGGAGCCACTTTACTATTATAAACATCATTTACTTCCTGATCATGAAAGTTCAGATTCATATGATGGTATAGTCCGTCAGATATCCTTACGATTCCATCCATCATCATCATCATCATCAAAAGTTGACCTTAATGGTTATCATAAAGCCAACAGTTCAGGAACACCAACAGGTCTTAATACAAAGTTAACAACAGCAAATAAATTAAATGCAAATGAATCAATTAAATCACAACGAGGAAATTTAACAAAATCAATTACAGGTAAAAGTAGTAGCTCATCGGTGGGTGGGCAGCCTGATGATTATTCAGATGATGATAAGTTATCCTCGTCATCTTATAATAATAAAACTCTGGCAACACCAATAATTATGGAGCAAAGTAATTATTCAACGGCTTTAAGTGTTACTATTGCAATTGGTTGTTCCCTGTTAATTTTGAACATGTTGATATTTGCTGGAGTTTATTATCAATTGGATAAGGCAAAAACAAACCGATCAAAATCATCCTCATCAACGGGAGCTGTAACATTATCATCATCAACACCATGTTCACATTTAGATCATCATCTTCACCACCATCAACAACAACAACAACAACAACAACAACACCAACATCAAGTTAATAATGATCATCATGTAAATAACTCAACTCTTGTTGTTGATTCCAATATAAATCCAATCCTTATTCATCATCATCATCTTCAACAGCAACAACAACAACAACAACACCTTAGGTCAACATCTGATTATCATAATAAATATGAAGATGTAAGTTGATTCAATTTCAATTCTAATTCAATGATAACTATCATGATAATTATTTATATCTGTTTACACCTTGAGGGTAAACTATTGTTGAAAAATTAGGAGGAAATTTCAATGAAAAAAATCACTGTTATTACTTTTAATACTCAATAGTTAACTGGTAATTATTGTCTTGATGAAAATTTTCAATTCTATTTTAATTGTTAGTCTAATTAAATTTGAAAATCAACAGTGAAGCAAAATGTTGACTTATTTTGGTGAAAATAATGATTCAGTTTGAGGAGATAAATTAATTTCTCTATGATCCACCAAGCAAAAAGCTCAGTTTTGAGTTAATATTTTTTTTTCTCTCTCACTTAACTGACCTCAGGCTATCAGAATTTATTTTCATTAGAAATTAATATATAAATTTCAACCTGGGAATCATCATGAAATGAATAACATGTTAATCTGAAATTATACTTTCCAAATAAATGAGTTTTTATTATTGTGCTAGAATTTTTTTTCACAAATTAATCAGCTAATAACTCAATTAGTTTGCTAATCCAAACAAATAGAGTAAAAAAAGTTAAGTTAATTGTTATCAATGATGGTAATTGTTAATAGAGAAACATAAAGATGATCCCATCTGGGAGTGGACAAGATGAAGGGATAACTGACCATGAAGATGACCATGATAGAGTTGATGAGAGATGAGATAAATTCTGAATCTTTGTTCAAACAGATGAAAAAAGATACTGTCAAAAGCAGAGAGAGAGAGAGAGAGAGAGAGAGAGAGAGAGAGAGAGAGAGAGAGAGAGAGAGTAATATGGGAGACCCTGAATTGGAATCATTGAGTTCAGTTAGAACTTAATTTTTTTCCCTTTTCTGAAACAGATAAAAAAGATTCAATATCTTAGATATTTACTACTAGTAACATGTAGCATCTTCATGATGATGATGATGGTGATGATAATGAAGATGAAGATTTACTAACGAAGACTAAGTGTCTTATTATAACTGTCGACAGGTCATTCCAAGTGAATAGCTGTTAATATCTGTCATCAGGATAAAGTTTTATTTTCTTTTATTTCTCTTTAGTTCCATGGTGAATGATGATGTTCACCATGGATAATGATGATCAGAATGATGAAAATGAGTGAATCAAGATTTTAACAAGACTTTTATCTTGATGATTCTGGTTGTTTGTTAGAGTTCATCTTGATTCTGTATCTTGTTACTTGTTAACAAAGATTTTTTTGTCTTCATTTAACTGATTTCTTAAATCATCATCACCATCATCCATAGAGAATCATCATCATCATTATCATCATCTTCGTTCTGCTTTTTATCTTCATGCTCATCATGTTTTCCTCACAAGCATTTTGATATGAGAGAATCAATTTCAATAAGAAAAAGAAGATGAAGAAAAGCTCACAGACAGAAGTTTTTTTTATCTCGATTTTCAATCTAAAGAAGAGGAAGAAAAAGTTCAGCATAAAATTCAGTTAGAATTCACAATCTCTCAGAATATATAAGAGAAAATTTCCCATATTCTTTTTTCTCTCAATTTTGCTCTTAGTTAAATAGGTGATTTTCTTCATCGATTTTATCACTTTTCTCTCACAACCATTTATTCACTCAGTTGATTGATCCATATCATCTTCATCTCCATCTCTCTCTCACTCACTCTTTTCTCTTCATCACCATCATAATCATGTTAAATTCAACACAAAAGATTAAGAAGATTTAGAATGTACGAAGATAGAGAGACAGAGAGAGAAATAAATAAATCGAATAGAAGTAGAAATATATAAATCGTTTCTTGTTCCTTTTTCTTTTCTTTAATTTGAAACATTCAATTCCAAATGAAGATTTCAGGGTTGATTCAAGAGAAAGAAGACAAAGATGATGAACTTAAATTTTCATCATGTATTCAGTTGATTGTTGAATTTGAGCACATGGATTTTGAATTACAACATTATTTATTTCACTTCGAACAAAGTTTCAATTTGATAAGAGAAAAATTTCCAACAAAAAGCGATATTTCCTCTTTCATCTTCTTCTCATCATGATCATCATTCCCTAGCATCCATATACTCACTTTCTATCTGTATTCTCACATTACCTCTGCCACTTATTCAGAATCTAAATTGATTAAAACTCTCTCTCTCTCTCTCTCTCTCTCTCTCTCTCTCTCTCTCATTGTTTATCTTCCCTTCATCATGAGAATCTTAATCTTATTCAGTTTCTCATTGAACTTTTTTTAATCTAACCAAATGGTAAATTTGAGTAACTCCCATTCATTTTATTTCCAATCCTGAAATCTGATTATCTCATCATGTTGACAGTTGAAATGTTATAATAAATATAAACACATTTCCCCTTGTGAACCATTGGAATAATCAAATTGAATTAATCAGATAGAAAACTAAACTAATACAAAATGAAACAACAACAATCCCCTTTGTTTCAGTTGATTAGTTTACATTTTATCCTGTGAATATTAATTCAATTCTTTGGATTGAATTAAATTTAATTCTGATTCATTGAACTTTTTTCTGTTATCAAATCATGAATTATGATTAGTCGAACTCTCTCTCTCTCTCTCTCTCTCTCTCTCTGAATAAATAATCTATCGAGAGTAATTGATGAATAGTAACATTTTTCTTCATCTCATTTGATTGGTGAACTTTTTTACACTTAATTGCTTGATTTTAATATAATTCTTCTTAAATTTCAGAGCTTGACTAAAGATGATATTCCCTCGATGACCAGAAGCTCCTACATAATACAAGATTGTAATGATACAAAGACAGCCGATGATCTTGACCTGACTCGGACAGCTCCAGGAAACACTGGATTGGCCCTTGAAGATGACGATGAATTATTAATCGATGATATTGATAAACAATTACAACACCATCACCATCAACAACAGCAGCAGCAACAACAACAACAACAACAACAACAAGATCCACTCCAAGATCATCAGAGATCCTATCAAACCCACTATCTGACCAATGTAGCGCTAAGAGATTCAATTACTGACCTAAATAGACTCAAAAGTGATTGTGCCAAAGTTTTGATAACCAATTACACCCCACCCAGGGATCCAGTGGGCAGTGGAGGAGGAGGGACACTTCGCCGAAGCCCAAAATCGGCTCTAAAAAAGACTTCAATTGAAGAACCAGTAATGTCCGTTTTTCATTACAGTCCAGGTCATTCAATAACAACAACCGGCGGATGTCAGTCAGCGACATGTTGTGGCTCTAGTATGGAATGTCCAGTTACATCGTTACCCGGTTATGTGACCTTAGGTAGATCACATCATCACCAGAATACCTTATCAACCCAACAACAACAACAACAACAACAACACCTACCATCTAATTACCATCCAACTAATCAATCATCCCAACAACAACAACATCAAATTGTTTATAATCACCGAGCCTTAACACCATCAGAAATACTGACCAAAGGATCAAATTTAATAGGTCGATGTGAAGAGGAAACAACAGCTTAATCTAATTATTAATGTACTTTAATTGTAAAGAAGAAACAAATTTTAAACAATTAACCTAAATTTTTAAATACTGATCAACATGTTATAATAGTTAACAGCAATCAACACAATCATATTTAAGCTTTCAACCTTTTATTAATTGTTATATAAATTTAATATTATGAAAAATAAATAAATGAGTTAATACAAAAAAAATCCTTCAAGTTTGAGGTTCATTGATAAATTGTAATTGATTCTAATTGATCAATCAATTATAATGGTTATATAATATTATTAGAGTCATCATCTCATGAAACATGATACATTCAAAGTTACTATTGGCAATCAACTAATTCCTTGGAGTAAAATAATCAATCCGGAAGTTAAATCAACTGAAACCTAATGGTGTTCATATTAATTCAATAGGAAATTTGACCAGACAATTTGCTTACCAACGGAAATTATCAATCATCAGATTTTCTGGCATCATAATGGTATAATAATCACAATAGCTAATCAACAGTCACCATATACGATGATTAGAAAACACAACTGTTATTAAATATTATCAATTTCCAGTTCGAAGTGATAATCAGTCACCTAATCTAAAAGTCCTAGAACTTGACACTCAACCCAAATAGAGGCTTTTTTCTGGATTATAATACAGAATAAAATTACAAATAAGCTCAATATCATTGGAGCACATGATCTTTATGATTTTAGAAAAAAAACTTCGTGTTTTAGTTTCATGATAAGTTAAATAATGAACTCGATTCAGTTGACTAGTTGAACCAGAAAATTTTTCGATCTAGTGTGATTCTCATTCAATAGATGGCGACACCAAACAGAAAAAACCTCGAAATTATCAATTGATTTGTAAAAGTTTGGTTTGTTTTTAATCAACAAACAATTTGTTTCTGTCACAGAACTTGTGTAACTTATTGATTTGTATCTGATGGTAAATCAATAAACTAAATTAAAGATAGAAAGTTAATTAACTGGTAATCTAATAGTTGATATTAAACTCAATCTGTTTCAGTATTTAATTCCGATAACGATCTGAAATTTTCCTTCCAGTTAATAGAAACTCACCTTCATGATAATCAAATGATAAAATGAGAATATGGATTCATCAATATCATTGAATCAATCGTGAAAACTGTTTGACAGATAATTTGTCAAACTTTGAATCAGTTTGTATTATGGAAGCGAAAACGATTCTGTAAGTTGATAAACCGTTACAATTGGAACAGAAATCACTTAACATGATCATTATCATGGTAATCAAGTTGATTGTGAATGATTCTAATATGGAATCAATTCTGAAAACAAGAAAGGAAAAAAACTAGACAATCAATCGTTAAAACAACACAACTCAACGGCAGAAATGATCCATATGATTAATGGATAAGCTAGTAAGAGGAAAGTTAATCGTAGATTTGAAAGTTAATTAAATGGTGAAAATAAAATTAGAATTAGCAGAAAAAACTATTTCCATGAGCAACCATCATGTAATTGAACCACAATTGGAAGACAATAGAAAATCTATTCATCCAGAGCAATTAATTATCAATCATGAACATTGAGAAAGTAAAGGAAAACAATTTCATGATCACTTAGCAGTTCAAACATTAACCATGAAACTCATAAGTTTAATTACTCTGAATATTGCACTGAATTTACATGGAAAAACTGAGAAACAAATTAAAAGTTTCGAGTTGTTTCTCGAAGGAAATTGAAAATAAATCAAATGATTTTTTGGCAATGAACTTTCCTTCTGATCCATAAATAAGTAATTCGAGATGAACAATAAAAAATGGGTTAACTTGATGATCCTTATCATGGAAATATTGTTCAGCCCTTGAAACAACAGCGATTCATGATACATGTTAGATAATAATCTGTAATAATCGGTAAGATAATCATGTAAATGTATCTTAAATGAACCCTGAATACGTACCATAATGATTTCGAATCTATTATGAATTTTCATTGTTCCATGTTTTCAGAACTTTTTTTCATCTCTATTCTTCTTTGCTCATTTTTCGTGTTTTCGAAGTTTTTTTAGTGACCTTTTTTTCCAAGGCAAAGAGAAACGTTTCTCTTCATTGATGCCTAATGGATCAAAATAAAGTAACTTTACCATAGAATCATTATCATCATCATCATCATCATGAACAATAACATGATAATATCATCACAATGAACAGAGTTTTACAGAATAACAGATAGAAATGAATAGAAAATAATATGAGAAAGTGAATAGTGAATTCCAACTGAATATTAATCTTTCCAATGGAAAATTTTTCCTCCTTTGAAACTTTTTTTTTCTTCTTTTTATTCAACAGAATTAAGCCAAATATCATATCCTTATTACCATGAAGATGATGAGCCTTATGATGATCATCATGATAATCATGATAATGAAATGAGTTAAGGGCTTGTTAACTTTTACATTCGCTTAGAAATGTCATTCACTTTTATGAGGTGTAATTGGGTGAAGGAAATAGTAAGAGGAAGAAGATTATCATGATGATGATGATGAGGATGAGAAGGATGATGATTATAAAGTGTATCCAGTTGACCGTTTACAAAGGGAGCAAAATGACCATCAATCAACATTATAAATGGAGCCATCAAAATGAAAACATTGGATCATCATTTATGTACATCAATGAATAAAAGTTACTCTAAATTCATGTGTTCTTTTTACATGTAAATGGAAATAATCATTTCAGAAATTAGATTCAATATCATGAGACAAACGAGATATTATTCACCATTTAAAGTGCTCAATGCTTCACAAATAAATGGTAAATTTTTTTTCTTCATAGAGAAGCTTTAATCAAGAACTAATTTCTGATTCTCGATATTGAACAATTCCGATAGCAATAATAGTCTTGAGAATCATGATTCTTATTCCTATCATTAGGATTTCATCAAATTGTGTAAATTGTTTTGTAATTTATTTCGTTTTCCAATGATTATTATTATTATCACTATTTTATTTGGATTCAAATGATTAACTTTGCTAATTAGTGATCAGCTTGAATGAGCTAATTGCGCTCTATTGTAAGATTGCAATTAAAGTGTTTAAACAATTAAAGATCCTATTAATTGTTGAAATGAAAACTTTTTTTTTGTTCAATTGATTAACACATATGCAATTAAGCAATTGTGATATAAATAAATTTATGGCAATTGAATGGCCAGTTGTTGGGGTAATTGACCACTACACTTGGAAACAAATGACCACTGTGAGTGTGATTCAGTTGTTAGGTTTGATTGTAAGAGTAATAATAACATCATTTTGAAATAATCAGGGTGATTGTGATTCTGTAAGTGGATAATAAAAACTCATTGGAATGAAATTCATTGAGCAAGAAAATGATGATAATAAAAATGAAAGTTCCTAATGAGTTTTCAGAGATGAGAAAATTATTTCAGTTCAATTATTGTTTTATAAACAGAAAACAATCATCAAAAATTCAAGAATCTTTTGAATTTGTTCAATCGGATGTAACATGTTATGCTTATCATTATCATCGTCATGATAATGATTATGATTGTTTATTAGATCTCATTTTTTTTTCATCATTCAGGTTATACAGTTTTTCAGAATGATGATTATTATCATCATTTCAAATTATTCTCACGTTAAATTACCATGAAGATCAAATTTAATATCTTCAAGTAATCAAGTAAACTTGGACAAGAATTGGTTAGTTTTTCATTCTGGTTCTCAGTTGATGATAATCATGATGATCATTTCATCTTGATTCATTGAACATGAAGACAGAAAATGTAATAAAATAAGTTTCTCTTTCTTTTTCTCTTTCTCTTCTTCCATGGTGATGATGATGATGTTTTCAGATTTATCGATAACTTAAACAAGAGAGAATAAAAACGAGAGAGAGAGAGAGAGAAAGAATTGATTCTATTCATTGGACATTGGTCATCAATTTCATGTTCAATGTCCTCTTTTTTTTTTGGTGGATTTTGTTGTTGTTACAATGATTCAATGAACTTGTTTTCTTAGCTTCCTTTCAACTGGTCAGTATATATTTTCAGTGTGTCCACCTTTCAGTTTGTATCATGTTACTCTTGAAGTTTCAAATTGAAACTGAAATGAAATTGTCTCTATGACTCTTTTTAGCTTTAAGATAAATGACCAAAGACTGACCAGTCACTCAACTTGTGTCAAATTCGTGAATGTAAATGTTGTACCAATTGAGATCAGTTGAATTTGAACCCTTTTCGAAATCGTTTTCTTCTTTTCTATTTCAACATTTTCCCTTTTCCTCCTTCTGAACTTCACAAATCAGAGTCACTCTTTTGAAATCACTTCTCATCATCCCTCCCAACCCTACGACCTTCCTGTTATACAGTTTCCTCCTTCCTCTTATTTTCCACTCTCATTTCCTCTTCTTGGTATATATAATTTTTGCTTCTCTCACCAGAAAAAAATATAAGAAAACATATAATCTGCTGAGTTGAAACATTTACACCATCATCATCATCACCATGTTTTATATCTCTGAACTTTTGTTCAGAACTTTTTTCAACTCTTCCCACAGTTCACATTGTTTTCCAATCTCATTCTAACCATTTCAATCTACTTTTATTCAAGTAATTGAATGAATATGAAATCTATGGTGAGACTGTTCGAGGAGAAAAAAGTTCTGATAACGAAAAATTGACCTCGATGCTTGGAATACCATATGAAAATCTCATCATGAAATTTGATTGGATAAAAATATGTTACCTGAATAATAATGATGAATAACAGAATAACCTTGAAAACGGAAACAAGAAAAAAATAATAAATTTGAAATGAATATCATGTAATAATAATAACAATTTCCAACTTTGTTTACTTTTAAATTGAAAACTTTTTTCTAATTTTCTTCCATGAAAATAAATCACCACCAAAGATCAGGGTGATTTTCATCATGAAGAGATAATCATCATCAAAAAAAAAGGAGAAGGAATAAAAAACCAATGAATATCCTAAAGATAAACATATTATCTTAATCTAACTGAAGCCAAGAATTATCATATATCATACATATAAGATATAATCTGTTAATCTCTAAATGGCATAACTTTAATTATGATCATGATGATGATAATCAAAGTTAATCATCTTGAAACAAAGTTGAGTTTAATCAGTAACCATGAAAATAACAACAAAGTCATCTAACTGACA